GATGCCGAAGTCCTTCGTGAAGTTCAGGTAGGACATGATCCGCACAAGCGCGTTCCATTTCCTCCCGGTGGGTAAGTGGGCGATCTTCTGGAGCTTGCTCAGAGGCAGGGCGATGTCTGGCCTCGTCAGCTTCGTCCACATCAGGCATCCGATCGCCTCCCTCACAGGCTTATCCACCGCGGGCTCGTCATCTCTCTTCGGCCCTAGGTCGGCATCGGTGGCAGCAGGGGTGAAAGCGGTCGTGGTCACATCAAACCGCTTCAGCATACTCTCAATGTATGCTGTCTGGGACAGCTTGGTGATGCCATTTTCTACATCCATGGCGATAGCACACCCGTCGTACCAGGTACACTCCCCCAGATCTTTCACCGGAAACTTCTTGTTGAGGGAAGCGAACAACTCCTCTCGCTCTCCCTCGTCTGCCGCCACTAAGATGTCATCAACGTAGATCACGATGAGACCTACGACCTCTCCATCCACCACCTTCCGGAAGACACACGGGTCAACCCTGCACTGCTCGTATCCATTCTCGATGAGGGCATCGGCAGCTTCAAACCCCCACTCACGGCCACTCTGCTTTAGGCCATACAGGGCACGCTCAACCTTGACCACCTTGCCGGACATCCTTCCGGGAACCTCAGGTATATTTCTTTTTTTAGCTTAGCGTGGATGTACACTTGCTTCACATCCCAGTGAGCGAGTTTCTTTCGCTTTTCAGTGGCTACGGCCATCACCGTCTTGATAGACGCTGCAGACGGACACGCTGAGGATGAGTGGTGGAAGTCGATGCCGGGGATTTGAGAGAAACCCCGCGCAACCATACGGGCCTTGAAGTCGACTATCAGGCCCTTCTCATTCGTCTTCCAAGAGAACACCCACTTTGAATCTATGACCTTCCGCCCCTCGGGCAGCTCCTTGACCTTGGTAAAGGTTCCAGTCTTGTGGCCATCTATCTCTTTCTTCATGGCCGCCTCCCAGAAAAACTTGTACTTGGAACACATCACATCCTTGTACGTCATCGGTACTGCTTCCACATCACTCGGCTTCTGCCCGATTGGCGAGGTAATACTTAGCTGTGGGTCTGGAACTGGTTGCGAAGACACGCTGGCGTCGACCTCGGCCTCGAACGCCTGCTATTCCGGGCCCAACACCTCCTGCACCTCGCGCCTGTACATCTCCTCCATACGGCGTGTCTGCTCCTCGTCCCACTGCTCCTTCACAAGCGAGTTGCAGATGTAGTCCTCAACAATCCCCGTCCCGCCAGTTTCCAGGATGGTCGCCAGCAGTGCCTCTTCCGGGTCCGGTGTTTCTCCGGGCCCCGGCATCTCCCCGGCACCTTGCATCTCCCGGGTCTGCTTCCGCGTGCAGCCACTCTCAAGCACATGGCGCAGCGGGCCAGCGTTCGAGGCGCCCCAGATGAGTTTCTTCCCTTCTAGCCCGCGGGGGTAGCGGTCGTCGGCTGGATCATACTTCAACTCCTCGAAGTTCTCGGAGTCGCCTGGATCACCATCGCCACCGCCGCCCCCACCTAGGTCGCCGGACTCTTCGCCGCCCGGGCCGCCGGCACCGCCGGCGTCACTGCTGCTGCTGCTGCTGCTGCTGCTG